ATTTGGACCAAAGCAAAATAAATCTGAATGTTCTATGGACCACAGGGGAATCATGAGCACAAGCAAATTTCAAAGTCTTGCATCCAGTTTTTCCAAAATGTTCAGCAGGGCAACTTTATGTTCCTGAGTGCTCTACACTTCATTTTTTTTTTTTAATGTGGTACAAAGAATTGAACCCGGTGCCTCACACATGCAAGGCAAGCACTGTACCACTGAGCTACAACCCCAGCCCCTGTTCTCTACTTTTTACAGTGCAAATGAGTGTAAGTGTGTGTGTGTATGTGTGTGTGTGTGTTGTGCAAACATGCTTATCATGCATTAGAAAGGTTGATTCTGTTAACTGCTACTATTGGTTTTAAGTTCCAAGTGAGATTATTTTCTGTTTCTCAATATTCTAGGATCTTTCTAAATGCTAAATCCTATAAATGTTAAATAAGGGACAGAAAAAAAGAGATGTATTTTTTAACCTTATTGGTGGGAGGTTGATTGATGCCTTAAATTATATATCATATTACAGACTCTGCCAACTCTGAAGAATAAATTCTTTATTTTCCTACACTTAAAAAATTCAGGAAAAAAGTCATAGATGTTAAAATCATAGCTTTATGAAGATACCATTGATATATGGTAGATTTAGATTATTTTTAAACATCAAATATCCGAGTAAAAATTTAATAAAACAAGGAATCCATCAATGCCCCACATGCTTGCCTCTCTAGACATAATAGGTGTATCTGAAAGATGGAGGAAAAGGCAGAACTACATAAACAGAATCTTATTTTAAAAGCATCAGAAGAACTTTGCTTTTGAAGATAACTTCTCATAATGCCATCTCTTGAGTAAATGCTCTTTTATCATATGAAAACATAAAGTTATATCATAAGTTTATATATTTTTATAGACCATCATGGGGTTTGTAACAAAATAATAGCAAAACAAAAACAAAGTGAAACCCCATACATATAATTGGTTCTATAATATAAATATCACAGTGCTAAATTATCTCTAAAACCAAATTTATCTTCATTACCATCAAATGAGGTACTTCCATTAAGACACTAAGGATATTATATAGAATGCCCCACATGCAACAAAAATATGGAGCTATGTCTTGGATTGCTATTGTTTTAAAATATTTTGAAGGAAGGCATTAATACAGACTATAACACTCCTCTAGCCCATCCCTTATTTTGAAAAAAAATCTTGAAATATATATTGATTCATTTCATGACCCCTCCAATTGGTTATACTTAGGTTTCATTATATTCTTTCCTTGATAGCCCTTTCACATCATCTAAGCAAAATCTAAGAAAAGAATGAAAAAAACTCAGACCCAAATCTGGGTCTAGAGCCAGATACTAGGGTTTTCCAGATAATCCAGCTGGATTCCAAGGATGTCACATGTGTGTAAATACTGATGTTTGTGTTGTTTCCCTGGAGTTTTACAGATATAATATTTCCATGTTTTGCTTCTTTTCCTTTAGCCCTATCACCTGTAAACAAAGTGCTAGGGATTGAGAATCTTACCATCCACATAATTAAGATTTCTTTCCCCAAAGGTATCCTGGACAAGCTCAGGAGTACCCCATGCATATCATCTAAACACATATCTGAAATGATCAATATGGTTGTTTCTAGAGCCACTGCCTAAATACAAGAATGACAAGTACTGCATCCTGCTTTATTTATTTGTTTATTGGCGTACTGGAGATTGAAGTCAGGGTCTCTGTGATTGCTAGTCAGATGTTCTACCACTGAGCTACAATATCCTCAACACTCCTGGGTGTAAACCCAGCTCTGCCTCTTAAAAATATATTAGCTCTGATAATTTACTTAACCTATAAAGCCTCATTTTTTCATCTGCCAAAAGAAGATAGTAATTATTATGTACATCAACAAGTTGTTGTAAGAACTAAGTAAGTGAATACTTGTAAAATGCTTGGGACTCTGCCTGAAACATAGAAAGCAGTGAACTAACACAAGCTACTAATATGCCTGAAGCTCAAGGCCAGTGTGAAAATAACCATGCACATGTGTATAAAATGTCATCTATGTTTACACATCTATTCATAGGAAAATACACAGATACACTTAATTTCCAGAAAGATATTTTAGTTACATTTGGTCTTTGTCAATAAATTGACATCTCATATCAGTTTGTCTTTCAACTGGGAGGGTCAAGACTATGACTTTTTCAAGGGACAAAAATATATATTTAATTTAGCACTAATAAGTAAAACTTGAAGAATGTAATGCACCAACATATTTAGAAAACTTAGGAGAAGGAGAAAGACAGAACTGAAAGAATTTTTTTATATATATTTATCCTCACCACAGGGGGAAACAAAAAGAACAGAAACATGATCTGGAATGTTTTGACCACCAAAAAAACTCTTTTGAATTTAATTTTGTACAATAACAACGAATTCAACAATATGCAGCAACATTAGCACAGAAGGTTCAGTGAAAATTCAGGATAACTACTTTTCTCAGTGTTGAGAATACAACCACCATGTAGGTGTTAAGAGCATAAATCCCACACATGGACAACCTAACGAGATAAATTCTCCCACGGCTGTCCATCCACTTCTGATTCAACACCTCAGGAACCGTAAAGTCTGCTTTTCTTCAACTGCAGCTTTCAACAAGATATGATCTTGGCCTACGCACACACATACACACATACAGAGGAGTCCTTGGAAAATGTATGGTTTGCTTTTATAAAGTCTTAAAATTAACAGCCAGAATATATTGACCATGATCCCCACCATGTACATGTTTTTTATCATCTTGAAATAAAGGGAAGAACATGAAACTAATAGCCTATTTATGTTTCCTCACAAAACAGAAGGGGAAAAAAATCCCTTAGAGTGTGGGACCACCGTCACTTCCTGTACCTCTGAGGGAAGAAGACCCCCATCTCCTGCAGATATCAGAATCTGTGGATGCTCAAGTTCCTTACATGAAATGGCACTATACTCTATATCACCTACACACATCCTCTCATATAATTTCAATCACCTCAATCAGATTACTGGTAATGCCAAATATAAATGTTATGCAATTAGTGGTTATACTGTGTTGTATAAGGCAAAAGAACAAGAAAAGTGCCTGGTTTTGAATCATACAGATACAATTTTATTATTATTATTATTATTATATGCCCTGCAAATCAGCCATAGGGAAACAAGCAAGAAGAAGAGCTCCTTTATTTGCTTTCTGTGGGTCTTGGGCATTGGAAGGTGTGATGCAGCAGGCTGCCACACAGGGCTCTGTTTCAAGGTGGTGCTCACCAAGGAGGACTCACCTTAAAGAAGGGGCAGTGGAGAAGTGCCCCCCCACCCCGCCTTCTGCCAAGGCTCCCTTCCCATCTAGAAGTCCTCTCCCCTGGCCAACCTGTTTCTATTCATTTGTTCTAATCTTTCTTCGGATCAGGCCAGCAGTCCATTAATCATTTCTGTCATCCCCTACAGGATCCAGGGCAACAGATCTGTTTTTCTAAAATCACAGTGCCAGAAACTAAACTCAAGGAGGAGGAAATCCTTTGCTCCTCGCGGCGGCTGGCTGGCGTGATGACTGGAAGAAGCCACCAATTGTGTTCACTTTCCTCTTCTGCCCAGAATTGCACAGAACATTCCATGGAAAGTTTTGAGAGGGAATTCAGGTGGGAAGTGGAATTGGCAAGGTTGAAGAGGAACCCAACACATAAAGCCACCCACGGGCTAAGGAGGATGTGAGAAAAGGGGGTGGATAAATATATGTCAAGACAATGACAGATATAAATTAACAAATTCCTTATTTTCAAGGCCAAATATTTTGACAACTCCAGACATCAGAGAAGGCATATTAAACATAAAACTTGTAGACAGCATAGTCCTCTATGCCCCGATGTGATGGAAAAACTGAAATTAACTAGATCAAACAAAATGCTCCCCAATGGCAGCAAAAAAGCAAATCAAATATAACCAATTGAGAATGAGTGACTATAGAGAGAGGGTGAGAATGGCCTTGGCCCTGTTGACATCTTGAGCTCATTTTTTTCTAAGTCTGAGCCAGTGGGGTAGCAGAGATTATTAAGGTAATACTGATGTTAGAAAACTAGAGATAGAAGAACCATGTGAAGTGCAAAAGTCAGACCTGTACTTATTCATAGGCCACTCATGCATCATGTCAGCCCCTATAGTAATCTCCACTCAATACAGAAATCAGTGCCATAATACCATCATTCAAAATTTGCCAGTGAAAGACATGATATCTCCTTCCATGGGTAATAATGCCAATCTGATTTAGAACAAATCCCTTGACAAATAAGAGAGAATGTCCAGAGAGTCAAAGTGAGGGTGTTGTAACAACTGCCAAGTCCTTCCAGGATTCTTGAATACTCTGTGATACTTAGGTGGCTTTAAGTTCTCTTCCAGTTCTTTGATCCTATGATTATACATATGCTCATAAGAATGAACCAGTGTTATCAGAGAAAAGGATATACTTCATATACATGAATATTTCTCTATTATGACATTGAGTTAAATGGTAATATGTAATGATCAGTTATGCAGCAAGTGGCTTGATAGGAATAAATGCTTTTAATATCAAAGTTTATTAATACTTACTTAAAACCTAAATCAGAGCCATTTATTTATAATCATGTGATTATTCAGCTGCCATTTTTCATAGTAGGCGTCAGGACAGCAACTGTACAAATCTGGCTATATAACAACTACAGAAAATTTAAATATATATGTGTGTATATTTATATTATCTTTGCAGTATACACATGTATATTTAAATTTAAATACATATACATATGTATGTAACACACTCTTAAGCTCCTCAAGAAATGGTACATAAGTAGGATTTTGTTAATTTAAAGCATTTTCATGACCTAAGTACAATCTTATAAAGACAAACCCAACATAATCCTTTATGCTATAATATATTTTACAAAGACAAATGGCTACAAAGAAGCAGCAAATAATCTGAACATAAAAAAGAAAGCTTACCACAAATGCTATGGTACTTCTTAACGTGGACTCCCACTGGAAGCAGCTCTTAAGGAACTGAATTGTATTCCATACTGCCATAGTGAGTCTTTTCACACGGTCCACATCTCTTGATAAGATCTGATATAAAAAAATGAAAATGGAGAACTTGATTTAAATACTCCAAGTATTATCTTGAGATCAAGTAGCCTGATCATTTAAATTATCTTCTGTGGAGGTGCCAATTAGAAAAATTAATAGAAAGGGAACGTCCGATACTACTAAAACTGTTTTACAATATTATCATCCATAAGAGGAAAAACAATCCCAGTGTATAGTTACAGCTCATTTGATGAAGAATAACTCTTTCAATAATATTAGGCACAAAACAGGTCTGGTAAAAGATATAGCAACTGGGCTTCTGATACCATGGAATGTGTGAAAGTGTATGCGTGAGACACAGGGAGAGAGAGAGAAAGACAGATGGACACAAAGAAACAGAGTCAAAGCTCACAAGAATGGGAATGAATGCTGATATTGTTTTTCTTTGGAATTAACTGCACAAATTCATAGTGGACAATTCAAGTAATACAGCTCATCTTGTCTTTACGCCTATAAGAAAGTATAGTTCTTGGAAGAGAATCCAGTCCTCCCTCTTCCCAACTGTACAACCCTAGGCAAGTTACTTAACTCCTTCACAAAATAGGACTGCTATTAGTCTCACTTTACAAGTGGTTGTAATGTTAAGAGAATTAAGCGCCTTAGAAAAATACCTGTCACATAGTAAAAGTTTTTAAGAATTTGTATCAAAAGCAAAAGTATCACCCTTATGAACACTGGGGGTTACTAAGTGGTTAAAGGCACTCAGGAGGGTCGTGACCTACTCCAGGAGTTCAGCCTCAAACCCCTCATTTTTCTCAGAGCCCAAATCCACCCCACTTGGAGGTCATGTTTTACAAAGGAAATGTCTTTTCTCCCTGTTTGAGGCAGATTCATTTCAATTTGTTTGCAAAGCAGCTACACCATCTACCTTAACTCAAGTATTAACTTTCAGGTAAACAGAGCAAAATGAAATAATAATAATAATAATATAATAATAATAATAATAATAATAATAATAATAATAATAATAATATAAAAAAGGCCTTTACTCAGAATATACAAAAAAATAATATCATAGACTGCCAGTATTAGGGCAGACTGAAACAAAACATTTATTTGGATGCTTCCCTTTAGAAGATGGTTAAGGCCTTTTGCAATTGTGCCCAGAAGTTCATGGGAAACAAAAGGTTGATAAGATGCCTTTATATTTAACTGCTTTGTTTCATCCACAGCTGCTGAGCCCAAAGGAAGTAGTGGAAGTAATAAACGCTTTAAAAAGGGGACACTTTGTTCTTTGTTACACAACTGAAGAGGGACAATGGGTACAGACTGAAATCCTGAACTGTATCTAAAGAGGACAGGGAGGGACTGAAGGGTTGGGGTGGGAAGGTAAAGGTCATAGTAAAAAAAATGGAAAAACTCCAACAACTGGCCCCGAACCTCAACTTTTGTTGGACCAAAGAGAGGAATTTCAGGCAACAGGCAGAGGGAAAGTTAGACAATTCAGCATGGGGTAAAATGCCAACACAGCCCAAATTTAGACAACACACAAGTGATAAGAAAAGTCTTTGGGTAATCTGAGGCCAGAAGTCTGGAAGAGTCCTCTGGGTTAATTCCCTTATCCACTCAACAGGCAGAACACCTCCCTGCAACTTCAAAAGCTAGAGACTGAAATAGCTACAGTGAAGGAGGGTGGACAGGCAAGGGAATTCAGGAGGATGTCTGTGCTAGGAATTGTTCTTTAAGAATGATTCAGGAGAATACTGGAGGGCTGGCTGAGGCTTCTGCTTCAACCCATAGGTTTGTTTTAAGTCTCTGTACCCCATTCTTATTAAACTGCCTAATGTTCTTATTTTTGGAGAGAAGGAAAGACAAATGGAGAGAGAGGGAAGGAAAGAAGCAGACAAGCAGTGAGGAAGAAGCACTTGGGTGCTGGGAGTTTATGTGCCCAGCATCCAGTCTAGGGGACCAGCCTACCTATTTTTTTTTTTTTCGTACCTGGAATTGAACCCAGGGGCACTTAACCATTGAGCCACATCCCCAACCACCTTTTGTATTTTATTAGAGACAGGGTCTCACTGAGTTGCTTAGGTCCTTGCTAAATTGCTGAGGCTGCCTTTGAACTCTCAATCCTCCTGCCTCAGTCTCCAGAGCCACTGAAATTACAGGTATGCACCACTATGCCTGGGACCAGCCTACCTTTTTGGACAGCTTCCGGCTATCTTCAACAAAGCGCTTTTCTCTGGGAGTAAAGGTCCTAATACTTGCCTTGACCTAAAAAGACATCAGTTGTTACAAAGAACAGCATGCAAGTGGCCTTTACCATCCTTCTCCTCTGTCTAGTAACCAGATAAAAGATGGAAACCAATGCCTTTGGACCCTGAAGCCTCTGGCAGGGTCCAAAGGCAGATACCCTAAGCTCTGCCTTTGTGGAGCATTTCAGGAGAGTCCTTGGGCAGGCTGGATATTGGAGAGTGTTGCCTCCACTTCAGTAATTCCTAGGAGGTAATTTAAACCACACCACAGAGAGTGATGTTCATACATTCTCAAACTAATGTCCCTGGAAGATAAAATTTCCCTCTCATATTATTTTGAACTTAGCTTACACAGATAATACCTGGTACATGCTCATCAGTTTTCAGCTTATTAAAGGAAAAAAAAAATCTTTTCCACAGAGAATCTCAGTTCTTTTCAATGACCTGGAAAAATAAATGGATGTACCACATCATTCCCATTTTATAAGAAATAAACTGAGGCTCAGAGGGATTTAATGATTTATTCAAACCATCAGAGAGAGAAAAAACACACACAATAAAATCCAAGTCCTTCTCCTCTGCATCAGATGGACAACTGAAAAGTCACTTAAGAGAGATATTTTGTTTTTAAGGCGTTAATCCCACTTACCCTTAAGCCCAGATTTTTGTCTGAGTATAATAACCTTTATATACAATGCATACACAAATGCTTGCCAGAGAAAGGCAGGAATGGGGGCAATATGTCCTGTAACCTCCTTATGTTTGATGTCCTTAAAGGTAAAGGGAGGAGATGACCAAAAAAAAGAAGGAGAAACATGCTCTTATACTGAAGACTATGCCCAGAGTTCTAGCACTACTGAGAGCCAGGGAACATAAGGATAAAAATATATTTATATAATATATAAAATTTTGCATTATATATTGGACAGATAACATATAATAGACTATGTAGAGATTTTTATATATATCATACATTTTACCTTGTATATAGGTTATATGTTCATTGTATAAGTTTCATCTATATATTACATAAATTTTAGATATATATTTATGTAATGAGCTATACTTTATATAACATATAGATATAGCATCTTTGGTATATATGCCCATATATTTATATAATATTGAGCTATGTTATCTACCTATATCTGTATATTTATATGATATATAGATTACATAGATCTATTTTTTCCTTTTTTTTTTTACTCATTCCTTTGCATTTCATTTTACTGAGAATTAAACACCATTGATTCTGCTGATGGAACCTGAAAGCTGGGATTCTCAGCACAAATTTTAGGGCTGAGGTTTTAAAAATGATTATCCCCTCTTTCTCCAATCACAACAATCAAGAGATACTGTTCATTAGTTTCAGTCTCTAAAGCCTGGTCACCTTTATTTTAAGTACAAAAATGCTAGGAAGTATGACCCAATAAGACTTACCGGATTATATATGAGGTCCATCTCTAAGTAAATAACTCCTTTAAAAGCTTGTTCTAAGTCTTTATTCTTCAGTACATAACAATTTGGTTGCCCGTCTTTAATCTGTTATAAACAAAAGATAAAATACACAATAGTACAAACTTTCTGTAAGGTTTAAACAGAATAACCACAACTCACTTTGGTAAAGTTGCAAAGGGAGTGAATTTATTAAACAGAACCTAAATCTATCATGAATCAATTTTTAATTCCAGAGACCTGTTATAATAGATAAGAAGGTAAAGTAACAACTACCAGGAACAAACTTGTGTGTTGATAGAAAATTATTGGTACAAATCGTGACAGAACCACATAGCCTTTTCCTTCAAACACCCCAGAGGTTACACACTTTCATGTACCCCCAAAATGATTAATATTCTACAAAATTCCTGGCCAATACTCCACAAGACTGTCAAGGTCATGGGAAAAAAGGAAAGACTAGGAAACCATCATAAATCAGAAGAGAACAAGGAGATAAGATGACTGAATATAATGGGATACCCTGATCTGGATCCTGGAAAAGAAACAGGACATTAAGTGCCAAAACTAGTAAAGTCCAAATTAAGATCAGAGTCCAGTTATTAATAATGTACCAATGTCATGGTGTCTCTTAGTTTTGACAAAACTATCACGGTCATTTGAGAGAGTAACATTAGGAGAAACTGGGTGGAGAGTATGTGAGGATTCTCTTGTCTTTACAATTTTTCTGTGAGTCTAAAATTATTCCCAAACTATCTTAAGGAAATAAATAACAAATCTTTATTTTTTCATAAAATGATAATACTTCACCAACTAGCAAAGTAAATTAAATAAACCAATCAGCCCACCTAATATTGAGGTCAAAATCATTCAAAATCTAAATCTTTAAAATAAACAAGTTCCTCTGATGTCCTCTTTCAACCAGTATGTCACATCTGAGTCACACACTTAGCTACCCACTGACCCAGCATATATGACTTCTAAGGAAAACATCCCCTGTATTGTTTTAGAAACCATTCAGCTCTCTCTCTTGAAAGGCATGTTAATTATCTAGATTTAATCACTCTCTTCAGATTTGATAGCAGCCCTGCTTTTCATTGTACACGTAGAGGTATATGAAGTAATTAAACTTCTAGCTTTTAAGAAGTGTATCCATTAACTCTAAAAGGTCCTCGGCAAAACTTGAGTTTTTCAGAAATTCTATCTGGAATTGCAATGACCCCATCATTTAGGTAGCTTAGGAAATTTGAGGGCCTGAAATTTGAGCCATATTTTAAATGACTATTGCCATCTCCACCGGCATTCACACAAGTGTTCTTATAAACAGTGGTGGAAATGAGTTGAGTAAGTCACAAGGGGAAACGGCAATTCCACTTTACAAGGGAGAGGTCATCTTCCTTCCCAAAGTCACTCCACCTCTCTCGGATTGAATAGCTTTTATACAGAAAGATGGTTTTCCTGGCCAGTGGCTAAGAGGAAGGGGGTGCCCCATAAAGACCTGGTTTCCTTCCTCAACGGTGTCCAAACAGGATTCTGAGCTTCCGCTTTGATACACAGTCTCACTTAATAAATTGTGGGTGTTAAAGTTGAAAGAAATAAATACAAAAACAGCATTGCAGTTTGCCAAGCTGAATTTGATCCAAATTAGCTTTGCTTCAAATCCATAGTCATTGTACTGTTATCTTAAAATTTCCATGATTTCTTAAGGGTTAGGGTGGGTCAAGAGAAGAACAAGAGGTATCAGTTTAAAAAGAAATATTTCATAGCAAAAGAAGATTTTTTTTTTTAATTTGGTAAATGGCCATTTCCTGTTACTCAATGTCCCTTGCATTGTGTCAGCAAAAACCAGCATCCACCTAGGGACATTAAAGCCGTCATCAAAGTTAGAGATATAATTAAAGCAATCCATGTTTAGCACTTTTGGAAAAATAATTCATTTAAAATGTACGAATTTTAAAAGTTTAAAAATTACAAAAAAATAAAGACCCTTTGAACTTCCTCAAACATCACCATTCTTTCCTTTGAACATAAATTAGAATGTGGCAGGTATTTTTAAATTTTTATTAAGAATTTATACTTATAAAAATAGCCTTGAAAAAAGTGTTTAGCATTTTTTGCCTAAGTGATATGCTAGATGTATTCTGCAACTTCATTTTGTATTTACCAATATTATTTGTAATTTGATTACATTTATAAACAGATCTCATTTATAAACTACTCTTCATGTCCAACATGCAAATAAACTAAGATTTATCAATTCTGTTGATGAACATTTATTAATTTTACTTTTTCAATCTGTTCACCATAAGGAATATCTTTTGGGTCATAGTTAAAGATAAGTGGAAAATGGAAATATACTGTAATAGTTTGCAATTGAAATGTGTTTGGGTTATTAATAGGTTAATGCATTTAAATATTTAGTGTTAGAATTAAATACTGAAATAGTAACAGAAGAGACTAGCTTTTAAAATATCTTCACTTTCTACTGTCTTTATGTAATTAAACTTCTGACAAAACAATATAGGATTACAAGTTCTTCTGTAACATCCTAACTTACCAAATTCTTGTGTGAGTGCATGTATACACAGGAAATGAAAACAAAACATACACACAGGTATATATCACATGTTTGTATCACGTGAGTTATGCTTATTATTTGTACTTAGACTTTTGAAGATTATTCCTCATTGTCAATAATTTTATTATTTGTACTTAGACTTTTGAAGATTATTCCTCATTGTCAATAATTTTATATTTCTATATAAATCTCAGAACTTTACTTATCATATTCAGTGAGGAAATAAAAGCACAAAGAATATTTAGAAGAGAGCATATACACAAATTTTCATCCCTGGCTATAAGATAATGAATGCTTCAACTTAAAACTCAGTTTAATTTTCAGTTCTGTATCAACAAATGCAAGAAGGAAAGATAGTTACGTAACTCTGAAGAGTCTTCAGGGGCTGAATCTGAAAGGACTTCATTTGACTCAAATATAAGTGTCTTGGATGAATTTTGTCAGATAACTCTTTAAATCAACCTATTATTCATCTTTTTATACTGAATTTTTCATATGTAAAGAGTGCCTGATACTATGCAGTAATTTGTGGCAGGCATCCCCCCACAGCAGTAATATAGTTAACCTCATTAGGAACTAAAATGTCCATAACCAGAAAAATGGGTGTTTTCATGTTTCGTAGATGTTTTCAAGCATATTTTGTCTATAAAGCTTATATCAGGAGCCTAGGTAAGCATTATTTTATTGGTAAATTAGCTAATAAATGAATGAGTACAGGAAGCTTGCTTCTGAGTAATGATTCAGAATTTTGTAATCAAAAAGAAAGTTACTGAGAAATTAGTCTGGTTTAAAATTTTTAATCTGACCCACAATAATTCTCAAACTATTCAACATTTTCGTATAGTAAAGATTATTAAATCTGCTTAAATGAGCTCTAAGCAAAGTCAATATGAAAAGCTTTTTTAAACATTATTTGGTAGAAAATAATTTTTGAGTCCAATAAATGTTCTAACACTCATTATATTAGAAAACTAATCTATTTTATAAGCAGCATGTAATAGGCACAGGTATGTAAGAATAGAGAAAAAAGTTGTATCTAGAAATTTAAAAAAAATAATTATTTTCCAATAACTTGACATTTACTAGAAGAAAAAAAACTTTGATGCAATGAGTTATCAAGTGATTCAACAGCAAAATTGATCAGAAGCATTACAAAGGAATAAATCCACCAGTTGATTTAAGTAGAAAAGACACACATTTAAGATCAGAATCCAAATACAGAGTCATATTGATTCCTTCATTGTTTGACCTAAAAATTAGAAAATGGAGAACACTGGGGTATAACCTAGCATTTTCTATTAGATGTCTTTCATTTCATGCAAAAGGCAAAACTCGTAACTGTGAGAACACCATGGTGCACGGTTAGTCCCAGCTGATGTAAATGTAATAAAATGTGATGAGGACAGACATGTGGCTTGGCAAGAGTACAATACACTTTATCTGGGGTAGCTAGTCACCCATGAGCAAGAGGGTGGGGACGGACAACAAGTGGCAGGAACTTACAGGGAGGAAATCAGACACATACATCCAAGAGAGTCCACAGGTCACAGGACTGGGAACCCACAGGGAACCTTATCAAAACAGCCATCTGGAAAACGGGAACTGTTCTGCCAAAGCTCCCCGAGTCCTACTAGTTAATTTTTAACCCCTTAAGGGAAACTATTGCTTCAAGATCATGTCATACCCTCCCCTTGTGTCTAGGTCATCAAGACAAAGGGGCAATAAACTACTCACAGGACATGAGGGAACAAGAACAAAGGCACCTCAAGTCCTTAAAAGTCCTAGGTTCTAAAAGCATCCAGGTGTCCTCCCTAGAAGGGACCCATCCAGTGCCTGTCCTGAACATTTGTGCTCTTGCTCTTCCTGGTAAAGTCCTGCTTGAAATTCATCCTGCAGGATGGCAAGAACTGGCAGCTACTGATTTTCATGGTCTCTTTGGCTCCATGGGTCTCCCCTGCCACAGCAACAACTCAAATTTTTCACCCGACTTGGAAACAGGCCTGGTTCCCATGACAGGAGTTATAACCAACAGGAGAGATTAAACTGTCCACTAGGTCACTGTTGGTTCTGCAGGGAGTACTGTCACCAACCAGCCAAGGCAGCACAGAACTCCTTTTAAATAAAAAATAGAGAGGAAACATTCCCTTATATAATAACCCATTCTCCCACATTGTTCAGAATGGTTCTCTACCTCCCAAATATTCTAGAGTGAACCTGACTAATCCTCAGCTGTAATTCATTAAGTTCATTTCCAATTTTTAACAGTTGTAAACAGTGTGATGAATTTATCCGCAGATGTCTCTGTGCCTTCATGATACATTTCTAAAGATAAATTCCTAGAAATGGACTTGCTGAGTCGTGGAATACATCCATTCTCATAGTGCAGGTAAGTAGGCAGTTTGTCTTTCTGAAATGCTGTGTTAATTCACATTCCCAGGCTCAGCGAAGAAGCCTGTCTGTTTCCCCACAGCTTGGCCAACTGCAGGCATTTTAACTTAATATACTTAAA